GTTATTGCCTATCTTGTCTGAACTAGCTACAAAATGTTTAGTTGGTCTGCCTTTAAGCCGTCACTTTTTTCTACTTTCGCTGACTTTTATTTCATCATATACCTCATTTTGTGGTCTGCTGCAGTTACATATGATTGTCGGACTTTTAAATATAGCGATAAAGTTCTTAGTTTAACAGTACTTTTATTTTTGAAGAATGTTACGGCATATTAATATTGCATCACTATAATCTCATCTATCCAGCATCTAAGCGGATTTTTTTACGAATATGCCTTTTCTGGGTGCACGAAAGACAACTATCTGTCTTGGCAGATTTTCCCTCTTCAAAATAGATGGAGCTTCTGCTACCAAAGTGAGCCCTCACTATCTACATAAGGTCCTTCAAAAAAATTTAGTTATAAAAACTTAAAACTAAGAAATTCCAGAAGTGGGTTGACCTCATCGCAACTTAGTCTTGTTGTCAGGGCGACTGTGTAGAACGCACCTAGTCCGAAGTCGTCTACCATAGTAGTTGTCATGATTCCCAGCACCTGACAGTGGACTTGGTACATTCTCAAACCTTTCGCCGGCATCGTAGTCAGCATCATCAGTGAGTTTTGCCATTCGCCGCACCAAGCTACGAACTCATCGTCTTGTCCCTTTGACGAGTTCGTAGTTTGGTGCAGCGAATGGCAAAACTCATTGATGATTCCGACGAAACGTTTGAGAATGTACCAAGTCCACTTTCTGATGCTAAGAATCATGATACCTACTACTACAGACGAATTCGGACTAGGTGCGTTCTACATAGTCCCCCTGACAACAAGACCAAGTTGCGACAACGAAGTTAACCCACTATATAAATCGAAAGGAGACTCCGACCATACCAGAAGACACAACATCTTGATCTTCATATATTCAACTAAGAATTTCCGCCTATATTTTTTATATCTCTGCTAGACCTATGTTAGATTTTTTCCTAAATTCTTACAGAATAATAGAATACGGAAAATCCTTTTCCTTTTTATTTATTCTCCTCAACTTGGTAACGGCGTTCGAATTGTATTGCGGCATCTAGTTTGCAAAAGCTCACATTTTCAACCCAATCCTTCAGACCCTTTTTGCTTTAAACTTCGTCCTACATGACTTTTTATATTTCATCTTACCTGACTTCACTTTCCAAGCGACTGGTGCTTTCTGACAAAAATGGCCGAGTTTTCCTATCGAATGAATTGTTAATTAGCTATGTATATGTATTATTAAAGTATTCTTGCTTTCATAAATAATCTAGCTTAAGAATATAGCAGAGCGTTTTCACAAGAATTGCTTCATCTGTTTTCTTCTCGCACCTCACTTCATTGTTCTCAAAATGACTTGACTAACGCCTTCAAAGATAAACTTACCATTTTTCGAATTAAGTATTGTTTTTCGTGACTACCAGTAAATCAGTTATAAGATGTATTCATCCGATTTCGTTTAAGGTGATGA